ATTTCGGGCATTTTCAGGTGTCAGCCACGATAAAATGGCTGCCTTTGGAGTGTTCTCGATCCTTTGAACTCCCGCCGAATATCGGGGAGTGGTGGAAAATGATTTTTCCAGTCAAGGACAAGCCACCCAGAACGTTTTGCTGCTGGTCGTGCGACTCCAGCGACCTTGATTAAAAAACAAAACAGGGAAAAACATCATTAGAAGGCAGGCGAAAGCACCTTAATTAGCCAAGCAGCAAGGACGAGTCAAGGTCGCCGTGGGAACTCATTTGCAGTTGCTGCCGTTCGCAGCTTCCGTAGCCTTCGTCCTGTTTTTCAGTTTTCGAGACCCCGTCCGTCCTCGTCCTGCCAACCGCACAATTATTTGCAGCCGGAAAAAGGACCTCCTGTCGTGGGTGCGTTGCAAATCGCCTGCACTTGTCCTTGTCCTTGGCCAACATCTGTGAGCCTCCGTCTGAGCCTGTCTAATATCCTTAGAGAACGTTTCGTCCGTCTTTCATGCTTTGCGGTTTAATCGAATTTACAGATTTGGCCGGAGTCATATTTGGGTCTGTTTGTAAACACCAGTCCGCTTAGGTTTTTATTGGATTAACCACACACAAAACACACAAAAGTGTCTTAAGTCGCTCAAACTCTTATCCTTTGGCTTATGCAATTTTGTTTTTGGCAGATTTCCTGGAAAGTCTGTGTTGCCAATAGCCAATTAAGTGGGCGTCGAACAAGGGATTTAGGACACCAACAAAGGAAGATTAAAACCGTAGTGACTTTTACAACTTTCACCAGACCTAAGAGAAAATTGCACTGTGTTTAGCTACAAGCAAGCCAAAGCAAAAGTAAAGAAATTAATTGCCATTTAAGCATTAAAATAAGATATTAAACACTCAAGACCAATTAGCGCCTGAAAGAGAAGAGCAAACATCAATAGCGAATGTCAGAAAGCGGCTAACAAGCTTCGCTTAAACTGACAAATTAGCTGAGAAAACAATTTGCGGCGAGTGGCAAATTAAACAAATTACAGCTTTGGTGGTAACTTGCAGCGGAAATTAGCCAGCAAAAGCGAGTGGGTTAATTGATCGAAAACGAGTTAAAGACTCATGCAAATGTGGGCAGATGAAGTCATAAAATTCTTACGACTCTGGAATCTTTTTAGGTTTCGGTTTCGGAGCTCATGAAATGCCATCCGCCTTAATAAAATTAATAAAAAACGCCAAACAGCGGCCAGTCAAATAGCAATAAATATGAAACTCGTTTGGTTGTTTTGGCCAATCCGTCCGATCTATTAGCTGGCTATTTTCCCTGGGCAAATAAAGTAGTCAAATTTATAATCAACAAGTTCATTAACATTTAACCCTAAACGAAATACAGCGAAACAACAACAGCCACGATAAAAACAACCAAAGGCGACAACTCAACGGATGAACAGCAACCTAAAAAAAATGTATTTTTAACAAATTAAAAATTGTTTTAAAGCCTGAGGCATTGTGCGTATTAATGGGCCGGGGGTTGGGTCAACAGGAGGTGGAAGTGATGGGAGTTGGTCCGAAGTGAAGTGAAGGCAGCCAGCTCACTGACAAACGATTTACGAACAGAGTTAAATTTTAATTAAAGACAGCCACAGAAAGCTTGGGGGGAACCTTTAAATATACAACTACCAAATACCCTTATTAAAAAAAATTATAAAAATAATTAACCTGAAAAATATATTTTATGTTCTCTACATGATATATGTATGAAGTTTTTTATGCATCCTACCTGTTTAAAAATAATACTTCCGTTATGTTTTACCTAATATCAACAAATAAATCACAACTAAAAGTAGAAACAATAACTCACAAAGAAATGTCTATCTAGATAACTATTATGTAGCTCCAATAAATCATGCTGACAATATCGAATATCATTCGGGAACCTTTTATCTTCCTAAGTGGCGCACTTTCCCCATTAATTCCTGTGTAACTTTCGGCATATCGGTGCAGCAGATCGTCGGTTTCAATTACGACTGGTAACTCAATATCCGAATAGTTCCCAGAAGGAGAGCATCTCTTTCGGAATGGTAGGGTATGCAAATGACTGACGGACGGACGGCTCATTTGTCCCGAGCGGAGTGGGGCGAAAAACTCGGATTTGTGTGTACGTACGAGTATATTATGACTCGCATGTGTGGCCATTAATAACTCCCGATCGCCACTCGCCGGCACTCAGCACAGCGGACGGATTTACGCATTTGGCTGCGTAAAATATGAATTTTAAATTACCCAGCCTCAGTTTCAGTTCCCAGCTTCAGTTCCCATTTCCAGTTTCAGTTGTTAAAGCGAAGAGAAATTATTGGGTTCCCGGCGAGGGGGAATCGTGTGAGTTGGAGCCCTACAAGGCGTTCATTTAATTCCGACCAGTTTTCATTCCAGTTTTAATTTCGATTCAAGTTTGACAATTGAGTTGTAGCCTGCGATTAAGACCCTATGCAGCGGAGAGTTTTATTGACCAGTAATTGCAGATAATTATATCACTGGAGTTATATATATTTTATAATATGCCATACAACACGACTGGAATAATTTGTTTCATAACGATATTTAAAATATTTTGCGATCACAATGAAAAGATTGTAGTGGTACATAAATTAAACTTGAAAATGCAAATGGTACAGAAATACAAATATCCATATATTGTTATGGGGTTTTTGGTATGTTTTGGCACTCTGACAAGTTCGTTGTTCGAGTCTTTTGTTTGGCCGGCAGCAACGAAGTTGAGAAAAAGCCATTAGAGACGGAAAAGTAACCGAAACAGACATAGAAACAGAAACAGTAGCCGCAGTGGTGGAAAGGCAAAGCTCATTAGCAGTTACCATTTTATCCAAACATACGCATCATTATCATTAAGGGCAAACGGGAAAGCAACAACAGCAGCAACAGCATCAGAAACAAGTTGAAAACTTTAATTAACGCATTTTTACGCAACTGTCGGCGGCAGTTTAACCCCTTTGTGGCCAAACGCTGAGCAAACACGACAACGGTAATAATTGAAAATCATGGCAATCAAAGCGGAAAGTGTGGAATGGATTGAAATGGAAGGGTGGAAGTTGAGTGGAAAAATCAACAGCTGCCGACGGCAACAACACAGTCATAACGTGTGTAAGAGAGAGAGAGAGAGGGGGAGTGCGAGACAGAGTCAGCAGCCATTGTTGTCATGCGTGAGAGAGCAGGGCAGCGAGAGCGAGAAACGAATAGAGAGCGAGGGGGACAACTATATATCGAGTTCGAAATTCGAAGGGGAAAGAGAGCAGAAGCACCCTTCCAGCTTCCAGTTTTTCCAACTTCGACTTTTAATGGCTGACCGGAGTCACTGGAAGGTGCGTTCGAACCGGTTAAGACCGAATCGAAACGGTTAAGGCCTCCCAACAGCAATTTAATTCAAGCATTCGCGCCGTTAAGATATTTATTAATTTATATTCGATCCAAGTCCATTTGATACTAATAAAAATGCGCATAAAAATTGCATAAATATCAGCCCATTGATTAGGGAACAGGTTACCCACGAAATGTGCTCTAAATATGGATTATGGCTTATCGTCTGGGCGTTAGTTTATTGGCCCGAATTGCTTATGTCACAATTGGCAACAGGAAATAGGTGGGAGTGGTGGCAAGATTACTCTCTAATTAAATCCTTCGCCCCATAAATCAGAAGCCCACATGGCATCGATCGGTTTTATTATGCAAAAATTAACACAACAAATACCGCTGGCCATAAGGCAATTCATTAGCGATTTCGTTATTTGATTTCGGTTTTATTCGGCTTAAACAGATTCGTTGATTTATGTGCCATATATCAGTGGCTATATGTTCGTTCGGATTCCCTCTACTATTTGCAGCACATGTTTCACATTTGTAGATCTTCGTTTGATTAGAGGCCCCCCAAAAAAATCTATTGTTAATGTCCAATGCCAAATGGCGTTCGTTTTTAACACCTTTCGAAGTTTATTTTGACAGTTAGCGATGGTTTTTTTTTTTTTGTTGGTTTCGGCTTGACTGGCAAATCGATATTCGATGGGCAAATAAATAATTTAAAAGTCAATTAAATATCAATCAATTGCGTCAGCTGTTTTTCAAGGCACATTTAACTGGTTAATTGGCGGCCCATTGGAATAAATTGTCATTGTGTATTTAGCGTGTTTTTGTGAAATATCAAAAACGATTCTGGTGGAGGTGGGGTGATAAAAAGTTCTCCCCATTTAAATTAAAACAATTAGCTTTGCGGTTTTCCTTCTCTCCCTTCTGTTCCCCCTCTTTTCCCGAGTAAAGGTGGTGTCGATAAAGTTGTAGGCTGTAGAAAACGCAGATTGAAACGTCGCGGCCAAAAACAAAATCAACAAAAACTAAATGCTTATGAAAAGTGTCTGGCGAAAGAGATGGTAGATGCCTGCTCCCCCTCAACAAGCGGGCAGCCATTTTCCTGGCTTACTGCACGCAGGAGTGAGCAGTGCGGCTATGGTCTGCTGGCTTGGTAACGCCCCGTGAGAGAGGGAGAGCTTGCGCCTGCGCAGTTCGCTGGGGACACAGTTGTCAACCGACTGACAGCTCCAGCATGCGCATAATAAAGTCATATTGCCGCCTAACAAGCCCCCCTCGAAAATTGGCAAGAGAGAGAGAAGGAGCGAAGGAGAGCGAGCGAGAGAGTGGCACTCTCGGGAAGAGTGAGTGAGCCAGCAAAACCGGTTAGCACAGGGCAGGTGACAAGGCTAAGAGAGAGCGAAAATCGATCAGTGGAAGGCTAGGGCACATCTTCCACTCTCATCTCCTCACGTCACTGTCACCAACTGCTGTCACTCACTCACTCGCCTTCTGAACCGCTCGCACCCATAGGCCTAGCCACTTGTGCCCTGCTGCCCTCTCGCTCCCGCACTCGGACCTCTCTTTCGCCCGTGACAGTTCAATCGGCTCTCGCATTCAACTCTCCCCGACGTCGGCGCTGCGATTCCGAAGTCAAACTAATTTTTTCGTTGCGCTCGACGTGAACAGACGTGCGTGTCGGAACAAACAGACGAAAATCAAACATACGAAAAGATAAAGCAGAAATTCAGAGAAACAGCAAACTGACAAATCTGAGCAGTCAGAGAAATCAGTAGCCAAGTGCCAAGTGACCCAGTGACAAGTGTTTTAGCGAGTTCAACTAAAGACCAATGGCCCTGGAGGATCGCTGCAGTCCACAGTCAGCGCCCAGTCCCGTTACCCTGCAAATGCAGCATCTCCATCACCACCAGCAGCAGCAGCAACAGCAGCAGCAACAAATGCAGCATCTCCACCAGCTGCAGCAACTGCAGCAGTTGCACCAACAGCAGTTGGCCGCCGGAGTTTTTCACCATCCGGCGATGGCCTTTGATGCCGCTGCAGCGGCGGCTGCTGCAGCAGCTGCTGCGGCCGCCCACGCCCATGCTGCTGCACTGCAGCAGCGGTTGAGTGGCAGCGGATCGCCCGCCTCCTGCTCCACGCCCGCCTCGTCCACGCCGCTGACCATCAAGGAGGAGGAGAGCGACTCGGTGATCGGGGACATGAGTTTCCACAACCAGACGCACACCACCAACGAGGAGGAGGATGTGGAGGAGGAGGACGACATCGATGTGGATGTGGACGACACGTCCGCCGGAGGACGCCTGCCACCGCCCGCCCACCAGCAGCAGTCGACGGCCAAGCCCTCGCTGGCCTTCTCCATTTCCAATATCCTAAGCGATCGTTTCGGTGATGTGCAGAAGCCAGGAAAGCCGCTGGAAAACCAGGCCGGCATTTTCCGGCCCTTCGAGGCGAACCGCTCTCAGACAGCCACGCCCTCCGCCTTCACCAGAGTGGATCTCCTGGAGTTCAGCCGGCAGCAGCAGGCCGCCGCTGCAGCAGCCACTGCAGCCATGATGCTGGAGCGGGCCAACTTCCTCAACTGCTTCAATCCCGCCGCCTATCCCAGGATCCACGAGGAGATCGTCCAGAGCCGCCTGCGCCGCAGTGCAGCCAATGCCGTCATCCCGCCGCCCATGAGCTCCAAGATGAGCGACACCAATCCCGAGAAGTCCGCCCTGGGATCTCTGTGCAAAGCGGTCTCCCAGATTGGACAGCCGGCTGCCCCCTCCATGACACAGCCTCCGTTGAGCAGCAGTGCCAGCAGCTTGGCCAGCCCACCGCCCGCCTCCAATGCCTCCACCATCAGCAGCTCCTCCTCCGTGGCCACCAGCTCCAGTTCCTCCTCGTCGGGATGCTCCTCCGCAGCCAGCTCGCTGAACTCCTCGCCGAGCAGCCGCCTGGGTGGAGCCAGCGGATCCGGATCCGCGGCCAATGCCAGCAGTCCCCAGCCACAACCCATTCCTCCGCCATCCGCCGTTAGCCGGGATTCCGGCATGGAGTCCTCCGACGATACGCGTTCCGAAACGGGATCCACGACCACAGAGGGCGGCAAGAACGAGATGTGGCCCGCCTGGGTGTACTGCACCCGCTACAGCGATCGTCCCAGCTCAGGTTAGTATCTTTAAAAATTAGTTTTACTAATATGAAGAGTAGGGAATTTTAGAAATGAAGTGTGTTGAGAATTAGCTTCTTTTGCTGTACTTCTTTCAAAGCAAAGAACTCCCAAAGGTTCCGCCTTAGAAACCCAGTAATATTTATATGCTACATGGCACATAAAAAACAGTATCTAGTTACTGGGGACCACCCTTGGGGAGCGTAATAGTGGCGGCAGCCTTTCAAGCTGCTTTGTTTTGTGTCATAAATCCGAAGGACACTGCCACAATTAGGCGACACGCGGACAATGGCAATGAGCCCGAATCTGACTCCCATTTCTATAACCATTCCCGTTGCCAGTTCCCAGTTCCCATTTCGAATCCGAATCGGATTTTTGGGCCTCACGCAGCGCTGCGCTCCTTTTGAAGAGCGACACTTTATGTGACAACATGTAGCGCAGGCAGCGTTCTGGCTATCGGAACTGTTAGATCCTCGGGTCGAAGGTCACAAGTCACGCACACACGCCAAGCAGAAGCAGAAGACCCTAAAACGCGCTGACGATTGACGGCCAGAAGAAGCGGGGGAGAAAGGTCGTGGGGAAAACCCCGCGGAGGAAAACTCTTTCCGAGATTTTCCTTGCAGCTCTTCTTAGGCCGTGTGTTAATTGACGAGTTAAGTGCTTTTTTATGGCTCGCAATGGTTTTTTAATTTGGTGGCGATGCAATCGATGGCAGCCCATAAGCGAGGCGTTGATAGCCCCACTCGGCGGCTGGGAATTAATCAAACGATCTCCACTTACTGCCGGTCAATTAAATTATAATTTACAATGTGTGGAAATCTAATAAGCACTTGGGCCCCGGCATCATTCGCGGTCCCTAGTTGCCAATTAGCCGGTGACTTGGACTCGGTCGCTAATTAGAGAGCCCGAGAGCTGGGAAATCATTTGCCTAAAATATGCCCGCCACATTCTGCGACCTTAAGGTTCGTTAGTTAGAGTTAGAGTTCTTCTCTTCCGCTGACAGCTGACAAATTGAACACTTCCCCGCCAGCACGCGAAAGGGAGTGCGAGCGGTCGGGAATGCCGCCCAGACATATGCTAATTAAATCATTAATATTATTAATAGTATGTGGCGCATTTATGCAAATAGAACTAACGTATTTCTTGTGTTCTTTGCATTTCAGGACCCCGCTACCGCCGCCCCAAACAGCCAAAGGACAAGACCAACGACGAGAAGCGACCACGCACCGCCTTCTCCAGCGAACAATTGGCCCGCCTCAAGGTGAGACTCGCTTCCATTTTCCTATAGCTATACTCCATATCCCATATCCCATACCCCGACCCATATCCATATCCCATTTTGCGTCCGTTTGTTGTGTCATATTTGCACCAAAATATTGACACCGCCCGCTGTTAATGCATCCTGGCCACCGCATCCTGTCCCTTTCCGTCCATCCGTACTTAACCAATTAGCCACGCTTGGCCCAAAACCGCAAATAATTGATTCGCCCTACCTGCCTAGGAGTATCTCTGCCATCCGAAACTCATCCTGGATTTTCTTTTTTCTACTTGCAGCGGGAGTTCAACGAGAATCGATATTTGACCGAGCGGAGACGCCAGCAGCTGAGTGGCGAACTGGGCCTGAACGAGGCGCAGATCAAGATCTGGTTCCAGAACAAGCGGGCCAAGATCAAGAAGTCGACGGGCTCCAAGAATCCGCTGGCCCTGCAGCTGATGGCCCAGGGACTGTACAACCACACCACCGTGCCGCTGACCAAGGAGGAGGAGGAGCTCGAGATGCGCATGAACGGGCAGATCCCCTAAGCAGTGTCCTCCACTTGGGGATAACACTCTCTCAAGGACCTTCGTCCTTCAAGGGGCGGCGTGCAATATTCGAGGGCGTACAAATGGTTTTTCATGTGATATAATTGTAGCGTACATATGTTTTTGTATATATATAACCCTAGCCTAAGCACAAGATCTATGCGTAGCGAATTCGAATTCGAGCTGTAAGTTGTTGGCGTATTTATTTAACCACCCTTGGATAAACGAAAGTATTATGCTATATCCACCCATCTCGTAATCCTCCAACACAAGGGCTTGTCGCTATCTCTCTCGCCTGCACTCAAAAAACGCTTCGACTTTCCGACGTTTATTATTCCTACACAAAATTATCTATAGTTATTATTCCCCATAAATTATGTGCTTACGAACCACTTTGTAAATTAAGTAACTTAACAGTTTCCCTAGCTTAATTTCTAGTTTACACACGTAAGGATTGCTATGAACGAGTATTTTTAGTTTTAAGCGAAATGTTAACGAGCAACTAATAGCTGAGAAATGCACCTAAGAAAATAACGAAGAAATGTTTGTGCTAAAGCAAGTTCAAGAAAAGAAAAAATGAAAAAAAGAAATAAAACAATTATGGAGAAAATTAAAGGAAAACTTTGTTTTTATTTCGGGATTGATTCTCATGTAAGATTATCATGGAGTTACAAATTATTTTGGTTTGCAAGATAAAGGCAGAATACCACCCATATAGCACCAATATATTACATGTGGGTTAAACGGTGGCATTATTTTTTCAGAGGGCGCCGAGATCCTTTGTTTTATCCCCCTTTTTTTTGAACTGTCACATCAAAGGCTATAGAACTTAAATCACGAACACTTGTCGCCGGGCGAGGGTGCTGCTTTTGCCGCTAATTGCACAATCACATTCCGAATCAAAATCAGAGGCCGCTGCCGAATGACGGCAGCTTCTTGGTCTTCGATTCCATTCCGTTTAATTAAAGCCAAATCCGCGAAAACTATAAACAAATATCTGTGACGAGACAGAAGACAAAAAAATAAAAAAAAAAGAGAAAAAACAAAAAGAATAAACGGCAGGGAGCAGTCAGCCGAGTCGGCATCAAATGATTTATTGGCACAGATCTTGCGGCGAGCGGCGTTAATTTGCTGAAAATAAATGCAAACGCGAAATGCAATTCACAATCAGGGAGGGGGCGAGATGGGCAGCTGACATTTACTGGCAAGCGTTGATGTGCACTGCAGTTGAACATGTACATATAAACGAGTGTATAAAACGAATATGAATTGATGCCAAACGCTAATTGCACAGCTTGAGGCTCAAATCCATCCGTTCGCATGTCTCGAGGGGTTTTCAGCCAAGGCGGATTCAAATCGCCCGAATTATAGAGGCGCAAATCCATTTGTGCACGTAATGAACCAATTAGACAATTTGCCCATTAGCAATACACACAAACATCGCCGCAATCTGACTGTCTGTCTGTCTGTATCTGCAAATCGAGTTAAATGAAAGCGGAAATCAAACGAAGTTTTTTATTTCGCACTTTATGTCTTTGGTGTATATGTTTATGTGGTCGGGGTAAAAGATTTCATTTAGCCTTTATATAATCTGGTATTTCGGTTCAGGAAAAGTGAAACTGAAACTGTTAGTTTTTCTTTTTTACTTCTTTGCATAATTCATTAAATATTTAAATATTGAATAATTTAAATAGCACTACAAAACATTTATAACCTTTTTTCAAAATACTTATCCCAACCAAATAATACCATTTTGCATCGTTTAACTAAAATCGTGCTTTAGGACTCGATTTAACTTTAATGAATCACTTTCAATAACAGTATTGATTCATCGATCCGATTGAAACTGCCGCACGACTCTATCAATTTTGTAACGATGGGGTCACCTGTAATTGATTACCAGCAAACTGGCGTGTGCAATGTGTTAGTAATTTGCTGTCTAATAGTTGGGCCAACAAAAACGCAGGCAAATTATATACCCCATCGATTAGCAAAGGGGATTATTGAGATATCATCGAAGCAAGTCGGGGTCACGAGATGTCAATTTCATTTGAGTTACATATTATATTTTATGGTTGCAGTGTAACTCCCGAAGTCTGCGTTTTAAGAGCTGTTTTTTGTTTGGTTCGATATCAAAGCAAGCACTTTCAACACTTCTAATTAGCAGAAATTGCCAAGTGACACACTAAATTTCACTTTCAGACAGCTCAAGGAATGGAATTTCAATTGCGCATACAATGTATAGGGGTATTTAGTTGGGGATGCCGATGTGTATAAAGACGGAGTTTGGGGGAGCGACGATGCGATCCATCGAGGGAGCTATTAAAAAGCCACAAAAACACATATGCCGGCTCCATAAGTCAGTCGTCTGTGTGGGCGCAGCTTCCCCTCTTAACCCGATCCCCATTTCCATACCGACTGTGATTTATGCCCCTTTGACGTTGGCTACGAATACAAAACGCAAACTATACAGTCTGCACGGTGAGAAATCATAACTGATTGGATTAGTCATATTATTGTGACTTGTTATACAGTGTTCTTCAATACCTGAAAAATATGATATTATTATTTTGTAAATAAACTTCAAAAACTGTAAAATGAAATTAAGTTCTTAGTTCTTAAGTTCTTTAGACAAAAATAGTTTTTAAATGTATAATCTTATCATACACATCACAATGAGATTGATTCTGTCTGATTTCTCTCTGTGTGGAGATGCTGCTCAAGATGCTGGAGTGAATGGTTGTGCCCCCTTATGATTTGGGTACTGCGGACACGTGTCTGCCACCCTCGACCCCACATCCTTCATCGCCACAACATACAGATCGCTAATTGCGCTTTTTGGGTGGTGCATTTTGCAGTTTTGTCGCCTTAATTGCCGCGCTGCCGGCATCTAGTAAACGTCGAAATGGGCGGCGGCAGATTTATTTGGCCCATCGCAGCGCCACTTGTTTCCGCTTCGCTTTATCAATTGATTTACGAGATTTGCTCCCCGATGGAAGCATCCTACATATACGAAATACGAAACAGTCGTACTTAAACGTTACGATTACGAGCGCCTGATGTTCGCCATTTGCTGCCAGAAATGTCAGTGAAACTGAAGCTGTAAGCTGAAGCTGATGCTGTAGCTGTAGCTGTTGGCATTTCATAATCGCTGCTGCTGCCAGAGTTCCGTGGAAAGTGCACTCAATTATGGCCAACAGACAGGCGCTCCAAGTCGCGGGCCGGCTCTCCCGCTTATATATTTTTTTTTTGTATTTTTTTTTTCGCCTCGGCGCTACCAATGGCATGAGGAGTATCTCATGAGTATCTCACATTATGGGCTGCCAAGTTTCGGCTTCAGCTCCAGCCTAAACAAACATTCAAATGCCCGGATGGTCGGTCGTTCATTTGGTCGGGCGGCTCACACACTTGGCATGGATTTTCAGCAGAAGTCAACGCCAACATGGCCAGAAAGGCTGTAGATCTTTGAGCCCTGGCATCATCATCATCTCCTTCAACTCGAGACGTCAATGCGCTGTTGACTCAACGCATTTGATCGGCCTGTGTACCTTTGTATCGCAGTAACTCTCTGTATATTTGTATCTCAACTCCCGCCCTTAACCCCTCAGTGGGCCCTTTTCCCTAGCTGGCGCTTAGCACTGGCCAAATATTTGAGCCGCGCTTTGTTAACCCATTGTAATTGATTGTCTTTCGTTAGGCGCATTCTGCATTTGGCGTTTTGGAAGCGGACTACGTGAGCGGGTACAATTTGCTGCCTGCTAATTGCTCAGCTGCTTGCGCCTTTGTTTGGCCGGCGATTTGCACCTCCTTAGCTGCTAACTGCTCTCAATGCCCAGCTAATTGAGCTGGTCAACACGGGCGCCGAGTTCCGAGATCAATGGTTTAGAGCTGCATAGCTTACTACAAATTATTGGAGGTATTAGTAGCTGGTGAAGTATCTCTGGGGTATTCAAATTTTAATTGTGAGCTAAATTGGTGAGAGAACATTTTTTGCCCAAGAATTAATCGAATATTTATCTTCTTTTTTATTTCCTCAGAACACATTATAAAACCCCAGGAAGAAAAACTTATCTAAAAACTATTCTATCACCACCAATTTATGATTTTTCAGCGGCGCCTTTTGCTTTGGATCCCCGGATGTAATTGCAGCCATCAAACGGCCAAATTAATTGAACATTTCGTTTATGGGCACTGTCAAACGACCATAAATATATTATTATTATTATTGTATTATGAATAAATGCATGTCGATGGGTGAGAGCCAGGACCGCCGTTTATTACCCAACCAAAAAAATGCCATGTACGCATGGCTTTCAGGTTTTCACCTCAGCGGTGGGTCCGCGACGCAATGATGACATTATTAACATTATTTTGTGCTTATTAATGCTTAATGGCCAAACGTAAAACGAACATTATTTCGTGTATGTAAATGTCATTGAGGTGTCTGCCGCCAAGTGGGTCGCCAGGTGAGAGAGGAGAAACCGATTATTAATTTGAACCGCGGGTCAAGACACCAACGAGCCAAAGACTCCACCTAATTGAAATGCACCGGCAACCTTGCAACTGCGGGAATGACTGACTGGCTAACTGGCCAACTGGCTGACTGAATAAATGACCAATCGACTAACTGGCCAGAAATGCATTAGCCAGCAGATACGAAAAACGCCGAGGTGGTCAATGCCAAGGAGACAAATGATCCCCAACAATGGGGATTGCAAAAAAATAAATGAAACGAAAAAAGAGCCTCCTCGATAATGACAATATTTTGGCATTTGAATATGACAAACAATAAGCCTCCAAGTCGCTCCTTTTGGATCGCAGCGAGTGCAGCGGAAGTCCGTCATTTATCATGCGATGAAATTCGCGTTATGCGAAATGTTTTTGCGTTTTGATCCAGCCAAACCAACCATTGCACCATTACGGATCGCCGGGGTTTTCGGGCCTGCAATCATATATCAAAATCTCACGTACATATGCGTGTTAGGTTTGTGGGTGGTCGAAAAGCCGCCGTTTAATTAATCAAGCCGGGCAAACACCGAAATCGTCCTGTTGCAGGGGAAATATTTGCCCAAAAAACACGGCAATTAAACGAAAATTGCTCGCTCAGCGATATTACATTTGTTGCTTTTTCGATTTGAAATTTATGTGAAAAATTTTCGGTACACAAGGATAAATGCATATTGATTTTAGAAAATTAATATGCAGACAAATTATAATTCCTATTCCAAACATTTAATTCAAATGTCAGTCAGACCAAAACAAATTATTTGTTTGCAGCATTAGTTTTTAATATTACTTACTTATCTTATCTTAAGATCCGCAATCTTACGTAATCAGGTTTTTCCCTTACTTAAGAGTATCTCAAGGTCTCGACTACCCTTTTTAGCAGACGCAAACTTATTGCAAAAGTAACCAAACAGAAAAACAAATTGTTTTCCGTATGCAAAGCGAGCAAACGCCACAAAAGCGAGGCACACACCAGGGTTAATTGGTAGCAGCGGGCTTCATAAACAAATTCAGCGCTGATTCCCGATTAGGGGAGTGGAATCCACAGCACTTGGAATTGAATTCGCTTGGCTCACACAAAAAACCAAAAGGAAAAAAACCC